TCCAGCAAGTTGACTGAAGACACCACCAAGCCTGATGGCGGAGTGACGCTTTGGACCTGAGCTTCCTAGTCCTAACTTTATACAGCCTTGGCTTCTCTCTCCCTTAGCATAGTACATTTGTCATCTTACAATAATCATATTAGTAATTAATCATTAAAAGCCTACATTCTCATAATTTAAGAACAAATACCAGCATTAGGAGAACCTGTGAATTTCTTACCACTCAACTCTCTTCTCTAAAGATTAATTTAGAGAAACACCAATGTTACTGAAATAAACTATGAAGGGTGGAATTAATATTTTCTTGTCTCAAGAATCTTTACTAAGTGGTATAATTCTTTAAAATGCCAATGCTATTAAATTAGAATAATGGATCTGAAAGGCAAAGGCCATAACAATCTCTAATAAGCCACACAATTCTGCCAGTTTGCTAACTGTACAAATATATGGTTTCTTGTTTAACCTCTTTGCTTCTCTTCTCTAACCTTTTATTCCAGCAAACAGCTCTGAGTTGCTCATTACTAAAAAGGAAACTTTGTTCCTTGGTTATTGTAAATTCCAACTTGGAAGACCTTGTCCACTGTCACTCCTTTTAAATGATCAATATAATGACAGACAACTTTAAGGAAAATTACACCAAGTCTTCTCATAACACCAAGGCTTCCCTGACTATGAGCAGTAGAACAGAGATAATATCTAAGATAGAATTCAAAAGCTATTCTCAAACACTCTGAAAATGAAGGGAACACCTAGAGAACATTTCCCAGGAATACTTCATATATTTAACATAATGCCATTATGTAGGGCAGGTTTCTGCACATTAAGCAAACATTGATATATTTGTTAAAGGACAAAGTTGGAAGAATTTGGGTGCATATCCTTGTATTATGGCTTGCAAATAAATTCTTGACAAGTAAAACTTTGAAATATGACTCAGTAGAAGTTATGCTTTCTTGTTTATTCATAACCACACATGCATTTTTGCCTTCATTTTAATGTATTGCTTACAACACAGACATTTATCAGCTTTACAGTTTGTTCTTTGCAATTCATTGGCATGAAAATAAAGATTTTACATCAATCAATGTCCATAAACTTTCTAGAAAGTTATCTATTTCTTTTGTTCCAAGCCTATTCAATGTTTCATGCTGCTACTTTATTATTTGTGGCTGACTACCTAAAAATAAAGTGCCCATTGCATTTTTCATTACCATGTCTTTAATGGCCACAAGTGTTATGGACTAATATTCGTGGTAACATACATAGAAAAAAATGGCTGAGTAAAGTATGTGCATCCCGTGCTAAGAATAAAGACATCTATGCCAGCAAAGCTGAATTCTGTTCTTTATAGAGGTCTATTTTGCAACTTCCATACATACAGTAATCCATGAAAGTGCTTTTTTAAAGGTATCCTAATTAATGCTTTAATATATAGATCCTATGCCCCCTTAGATAGCATTTAGGAAGCCATACCATACTTCAGATTCCTAGATCAGAGGTCAAGGACAGAGCTCTAACCTTTCAGCTGGTGGATCTATGGTCTGATACCCCCTTGCCCTCAGAGCCAGTATGGAAAGAATTGTGCTGACTGCCCCTCCAAGGTCAGAAAAGCAACCTTGGAAAGTGTTTAAAGGGGGCATTCTGGTGGGACAAGGAGGAGTGGAGAAGTATCTTGACAGCACTCCAGTCCTCTTCCCTGCTCCTCCAAAGCACCACAGTTAGATGACTGAAAAAAGCTGTCTAGCTAATATGCAGAGCAGATGAAGCAGGAAGAGATTATTCTGAGAAGAGTACAATCTTCTCAGAAAGATTACAGGCACAAACAATCTTAACATATTATTTTGCATGCATATGCCCTTGTAGGAATAATTCCAAAGGCACCAGCACATGGAGCAAATGGCATGTTGAAACTGGTCTTCAGAGATGGTGGCTTCAGTGATCTATTAGTCCTCTATCACTCACTGTTGCCTGTAACTTGAAATTATTTGGGCATAAGCACATCAAATAAAATTTTAATTGGTGTCAGGCAGTGAAGTAGTGGCAATTATCTCTCCACTTGCCATTTAAAGAGGCATGGCAGTGAAAAACAGTAGTAGAAATATGGGCAACAGCAGTCTCTGGTGTGTTTTGAACAGATTCAGGCCTTGCTCCCAGATACACACACACAAGCATAACTACAGCTATCCCTAATTACCTGTAATTCACTTGAGGATTCTGTATGCCTTTTTTTAATCTAATCTCCTGGCAGTATTCTTTTGTATGCAGAATCATTCTTTCTCACTTCTAATGACAACAGGCTTCTGATTTTTTCCAACCAACAATGAACTATTTGTTCTTTTTAATTTTTCTGGTTTGTTTCAATTTAGAGAAATATAATATTGTGGGAGATTTGGTATTTTCCCAAGTGTCTAGATGCCAATCAAAAGTAATCTGTTTTTCTGGATCCCTCTTAATAATAAAAATGTTTCATAGGTTTCAAGCTGCCAATAACTACTAAGTTAATGTTATTATCTTTGGGTCACTATTTCCAATGCCGCTCCTTCCTCAGAAACATTCATTTGCATTTTCCCTGGTTACACTGATTTTCTCAAAGTTATCCTAGTACTGATAACTAGATGTAAAATAATAGCACTTTACTGCTTGTCAAACTTTATGTGAGCAATTGGTTTTTGGTAAAAACTAGTCAACATTTTGGCATATTACTGAAACGCTTGTACAGTGTAACTTATACACAATTGTTATACAGGGGTAGGCAACGTGGTGCCCTTCAGATATTTTGAACCACAAATAGTTGCCATGTTAGTTGCAACAGAAGGGCACTGTAGTCCAAAACTTCTGGAAATCCCCAATTACATATATCTTAGGGTAGCCTTCCCAACCTGGTGCCTTCCAGGCAATTTGGACTTTCATCAGACCATTTTGGACTCTAAGCTATAGTCCAAACACTTAGAAGTTACCAAGTTAGGGAAGAATACCTTTATTTTTGTATCTCAAAACATTTTAGTGGTCTTTGTATGTCAGAGACCAACAACTCAAAAACCTTTAATATGGCCCTACTTGACCAAGGGATCTCCTTTTCACATAACTCTCCTTACACAAGATACTGAATTTTTGTGAGTAGGATCTCAGAATTTGTATTTTTCCAATGCAGGTATTTATTTAAATAATGTATCTCTCATCCTTCAGTATTTTCATTTTGGGGGCAGCTCAGATTAAAATAAAATGAATACTTAATTTGAACAAATTAAAATAATTTGGTACACTCGAAACAGCAAAACATAAAGCACATAAGGATCAACTGGAATCACAGGCTTGTCAGGCCAAAATAAAGTTACAATCTAAAGTAGATGAAACTAAATCACATGGATAGGAACACTGTGCAACCACAACTGGTATCCACTGCACTGGAAGTATGAAAGAGGCAAGTCATTTTTAGACTGACAGAAGCTTGCCTCTTTGGCAAAGATCTGCAAACCAAAATAGAAAGTGCTCATGTACGTGGTTTATTTTTCTGAACTCATTAGCTATATAAACACACACTAAGAATCTGAAAAACTAATTCCTTTATATTGAACCAGATACATTAGAATGAACCATATTCATTACAATCAAATGTCTGCAGATAAATTATACCATAAAGATCTACAACCAACAGTCATGGCATGCTCTAATATCCAATAAGATGATTTATAGCTTTGGTCAATGGAACTGTTTTGACATCAGAGAAATTTACCAATCAGAATACCACTCAAATAAAGGTACAGTGTTTAAAACAAGTGATTGCCTTTCTGGCAATTGTTCATTGGCTTGCACAGAACAGGTTTAGCATTTATTCTTTACCAATTGCTTTGCAATGCTTACAATGGCTTTACATATTTGACATCTCCCAGAAGGTATTTCTGTTTTGGCCTGTCAATGATATGATTACATTTTATCCTTATCTGCACTAGTAATGGTGTTGCATTTTTAGACCATTGTAAAAGAATGCTGGCAAACTACAGTTCATAATATTCAAGTGGATATACACTTAACATGAGTCAATAGTTTCATAACATAATATGGGTTAGGCTAAAGTAAGTTATGTACCTCCACCCCCTTTCATTTATGAATCCCCCCCTACTAACTGGATCACTTCAATACAGCTATTGCTGGGCTGCCACACTATAGCCTAAGCTATAATTTGTGCCAGCTGTCTCTGTATTGAGTGCCCAGTCCCAGGCTCCCTTGTAGACAAACTGTCAAATCCTATTTTGAGTTAGTTACATATACCATGCCAACTACAAACAAGCAAGCATTGCCTCAGCCTACAGGGAGTTTCCTTAGACAGCCAAAAGACAGAAGGTTCAGGCAGACACTGCATAACACAGCCCCTTGTAAGCTCTGGGCAGTTTCCTAGGATACAGCTCCATGCAAGACAGTTCTCATTAAACTGATACTCTCTACTATGATCCATCCTTCTTAAGCTGAGGAGGCTACCTAGTCTTGCCCATGATGTAGATCTTTCCACAAAGTCACTTCCTTGACTGCAAGTTTCTTTGGGCACCATAGGACTCTGCACTGTCCTGTTTTCATCTGAAACCTAACTCTTGGGTCTCATATTCCCAGCCCTTCCTACTCTTCATCAGGAGTCTGCATTCCCACAGGTTCAGAGGGTTCAGCCTGGATGTTTTCCAAAGGATTAGATGACAGCTAGATTCCTCTTCTATCTTTGTAATCTCACTGGTCTCCTGCTTCCTGCCTCAGCAAAACCTTCCACCTACACATCCCCATCTGACTCAGAATTGATGTCCACGTGTGCTTGGAGCCTATCTGCAGGGTACTGGGCACAATCTCAACACATTGCTTGTTTTAAATGCTTCATCTTCTGCAAGAAGGTATATTACAATTTAAAGAAGAATTCAATTGATTACCTTATCTAAATACAAAAAAAAAACCCCAGCTCATATTTTATAACTTCAACAACTGCAATATTTTTCAGTGCTAAAGGAGGACTTTCTCACCTGTGAAGTCTGAACGCACTCAGGTCCAGTCACTGAAGTTTTATCTGTAGAGTTATTTATTTCTTCATTAATTATTTTATCTAAAAGATACAATATAAGAAACTTGTGTTAGTTGTTCCAGTCATGATTATAACACCCTTTACTATATTCAAACAGGTACAAAAAATTCCCATTTCCTCCCATCAATAAACAGTACATTTGTAGGCTTTGGGATATTCTGAAGAAGCATAACTCAAGAAAATGATGCATATCAGACCAGAAACTACTGGCCTCACATGTATACTGACAGTATCTATCTGGAAACAACTGACTAGGAAAAAATTCTTGGTGTTGTAAAGGATAGTTTGATAAAAACATTTCCTTGGTGCTACGAGAAAGGCAAATCTGAAAGCATCAGAAAAAGAATCAACAATAAAATTACCAATATCAGGATGCCTTTATACAAATCCATGGTGCAACTATACTTTGAATACAGCTCTGCTCACCACAGTTCAAAAAAAAAGTCTGTGTGTGCATGGGTGAAGACAGTGGAGCTGGAAAAGATGCAGAAAAGTACAACCAAAATGATTAAGGGGCAATTTCCTATAAGTGAAGATTACAACACTTGGGCTCTTTAGTTTAGTGAAAGATCAGTAAGGGAAACTCCACTGATGTGTATAAAATTAGGCATGGTATAATACTAGAAGCCAAGGTCATCTAAAGAAAACTAAATGGAGGGATATTCCAAACAGATATGTGATTTTTCTAATAGCGTATAGTGAAACTGTGGGATTTCCTACCACAAGATATACCAATGATCAGTGACTGAAAAGAGACTTTGAAAAGGGATCAGAGAAATGCATGGAGAATGCTGCTACTCCTGCTGACTTTGATGGTTATGTATTAATTCTAGTATCAGAGGCAATATGCCCCCAACAAACTAGTTGCTGGGGAATGCAAGAGGGAATACATCATTATGATCATGGTATATTCCAGGTGCCTCTGCAGCAAAATCTACAACCCATAATCTTTTATTCCCTCCACTATGTTACCATCCTTTTCTTCTGATTGGCCTACTGCACATTTGAAGCATGTTTGCCTCTGCTGGCTCCTGTTGGAAAGTTCTCCCATTCCTTTACCACCCTGTGCTTGCCTACACCTTCTAGCAGTAAAACTGGGCATCATGTCCATCCAACTGAACAGGACTGTTGCCAGCTTGTCACAGAATGGCATGGTGCATTGCTCCACCCTGAAGCATTTGTGATGAGTTGTAATTTCCTTAAACAACTTCTTTTGAGGGTACAAGAATAGCCCCATAGCAACATCTGTGCAGACAACCAGGGAATGGATTATTGTGTTCTACATGAATACCTCTCTAGGGGAATACCTAGTACTGTGGACTTTGAGAGATTAGCGTGTCTAGATCTGTCCGTTCCAGTACTGCACCCTAACAAAATGTTCATGCAGTGCTTCTCTCCCTCCAACTTAGCTAGAGCTCCAGATGCATCATCACAAGCTGACTACTGCAATGGTTGTGTATAGGAAATCCTTTTAAAAGAGTATTTGCAAGAACTCTCTAACTGCCTCCTCTGTGGGAGCAAATAACTGTACTAAGCAAACCTTGTGAAGTGTAACTGCTAAAGCATCTGATGAAATTGTTTTTGGGTCAGACACTAATAAGAAACATTATGGGGGAGGATAGATTAGGATTTCTGTGGTTAGGAGGCATCAGTGAGAACATTCCTTCAAAAGATGGTGATGCTAATATCAGCATTTACCTGTCGTACGAGTGTGATGCAATTTTACACACAACATCATCTTAAGGAAGTTCAGTGTGAAGTGTCTAACAACTGCACCAGTTATCTTTCCTCAATATTTTTCCTTGAGAAAAAATCCACTGGAGAACTCAGCAGGTGTGGGGGGCAGAGGAAGGGTAACAAGAGGTCACAGCTGAAGTTGGCAAGACAATGAGCTCCTTCAAGGTTACTGTGGAGATCACAAAGAGTTGGCTCACATTTGCAAGAAAAAAAGTACCTTGATAACAAATGGAGCAGTGGAAGACTCCAGGAGGTTGGGGAGGATGCTGCCAAGTAAGGAGGGAGGGTACAGGCTATTACAATGTAGTTATGTTGCTAGGACAACTTCAGGAACTGCACTTGCTCAGTAGGAGCAGAATGGGAGTGTTTTGGGTACTTTTTCCAAAAATTCCTGAGTGCTTTTCAACAACTATGAAAAAATTGTTCTCCCAAGTCTGGTTGACATGCCAACCCACTGTAGGTAAGTTAACAACTGGAACAAGTTATGAATTGTCAGGATGGGTTGTTTCCCCAGAATAAGACACCCTGTGGGAACTGGTCTTGGTTCAAATGACACAGCAACCTATCATGGCTAACCACCCATGATGGGTTCTTAAGCCATACAAACAGAGTCCATGTTTCCTTTCTACTGTGAAATCTTCTCTCTACTGTTTAGCTTGAGATCTTACTGTAAGGTCAAAAAAGATGTTATCCTTCATTATTATTAAATTCAGATACCCACAAAAATTCATAACATAGTTGACATTATTAACTGCAAAATCACATATCAACCAATTCATACTGTTTGAAAGCACAGAGTTGCATGCTTGCTCATGCTAACAGAGAGTCCATTTCTGTGGAAACATGTACACTGAAATCATGCATACTAAGTTCATCATTATGATGGTCTCCTCCGGAGTACACTAGTTAAGCACACATAATATGGTAAGATGCATTCCGGTTGAAGCATACTTGCTGCTTCAACTGGAATGGAGGGCCAATATACATTCTATCTTTAATTTTGACAAAGTCTGCTTTTGGCAAGATAAAAGCAAGACAGATGAACATCTGCAGTGGTCTCATGAAACAAGGTATTCTTAAAAACTGTGTGATAGTGAGCCTCCTGAAAGGGTAACAGAATCGTTTGTTTTCCTGACAAGTTCAGCATATTATAATACAGACTAAGCTACTGGACACTCCTGGAATTGTTTGGAAGTAGGGCAAAGCAGCTTAAATAAAGATGTAGGAGTCTTGATATATCAGCCCACCAGAGGGGGCCACAGGGAAGCAAAATCTTACTATGGTTTCATGAATTGCCTTATCACTGCCCCCTAAGCCAAAATGACATTCATAAGTAGGAAGGACATAAACTTCTATTATACTACTTGGAAGGGAATGCTATAGTGTTGTGCAATATCTTTAATTCCAACAAGCAACCAATTGGAATGTTCTTAACTAAGATATTTTCATAAATATTCTCCAGTTATACAGCTGAATGTTTATATTTAAATAGTACAGCTAGCAATATGTTAAACTTCAAGATTTGCATGACTGAGAGGTTTCAGAATACTGGTACTAATATGTTCAGATTTATTCCCCTCCCCTCAAGCAGTTGTATTGCTCTGTTTTTCAGCTGCATATGTTTGAAAGCATACTTTATATGGACTATAGAAAAACTTTATAAATAACAGTCAAATACTGCATTTGTGGATCATTTAAAAATTATCAAATACATCCATTTAGTATGCACAATCCATGCAAACTATTACTTTGACATCAGAACTCCCTAGGAATTCCTAGCCTAGAGTTCTAGCCAATAATTTCTCCTAAACTGAAGCCAAAACTGCCTAAATTGACTGAGCATGCTCTTCATTTAAATTCTGTAATAGGAGATATGCAAGTATGTGCACACAGCTTTTTTAAAAACAGTAGATGTAACATTTTGGCTAATGGACCAACATCTTCAAGTGAAGAATTAAAGTGAAGCAGATTAAAGTAAGATTGTTCTTCAGTTCCATTAGAGGTGTTCTGAAACTCCTATCCACCACTGAGACTGCAATATGGATAAGAATACAATGAAATGAAGTTTATAACACATTTTAAATCTCTTTAGAATTATTTGCTTACTGCAGTGACAAGAAATCTCTGTGTTTATAAAATGCCATTTTGACCTGACATGAATGATGAAAATGAAATGTAGACATAAGTTTATAAGTCTTATGTTGCATAAGAAGACCTGCAGGCATGCAACCTGATGTCCTTTGATGTTTTGGGCAAGAACTCCCCTGGTCTCTGACCACTGACTATGCTGGCTAGGTTTGGTTGAAGTTGTGAAGGAAACAAAAGTTGCCTAATCCTGGGCTAAAGTAAAATGGTAATGTACCAGTTGTGCATGTATTAAGTATTCAGAGTTCAGCATTAAGTTTTAAGAGATAAGACTCAATTCAAAAACTTGCTTTTCATAAATCAAAGCATATATAAATTTATAAAAATCATTTTATATAAAAATAAAACTTTATATTACTGACAAAGAATAACAAACTTAGAAAAATACTAGCACCCCCTAAAAAAGAAAAAAAAGTCTGGAGTTTTCCATTTATGAAACAACAATACTGGTTCCTTAACTTCATTGCTCAGTTATGGAAACCAGAGGAACCCCAAGTTCAAACACAATTTTTGTACAGATATATCAACAGAGAAAGACAAGACCTCTGGCAGAGACACTGACAATTATAGGCCTTTATCTGGTGATGATACTCCCACAGTGGGCTGTGACAAGCCAGCTGCAATAACTTTCCTGCAAGGGAAACACCTGCAGGGTTGTGTTTTCTCTTGATAGTAAGAAAAGATCACCCTCACACACCATACTGCTTTAGGCCTTTTTCTTGGCTTTTAAGATCAGAAGGGAGCATGTTCATGTAATTACTATAGAGTATGGATCTTCAATCTGTTTGAACTTGTGCATACATTAGGGAAGTTGGGAAACTGTTGTGGGCACTAACACAAAATACCTAATCAATGCTTGTTGCTTTGGCATCTCAAATCTATGAATCTTAGGTTGCATCTTACTCAGGAAAAATATGTGTTCTATGTCTGTGACACCACAGTGTCTCTTTAATATGCAATTGTCTAGCACCACTTATTGTCAGCAGTACAATATAGCTAATGTTTCTTATAAATGCATGTTTTGGCAAACTCCAGTAGCTGCTCTTTTTTTAAGGAGGAGGAGAGGATATTGCACAGATAAAGGCTGCTCTAGTACAAAAAGTAATATTCATTGAGACACATACTCTTTCAATTTTCCT